CAACGGCGTGCGGTGTTCTTGGAGCTGTCTCGAGTCGATGATCGCACTCCGCGAGTCCGACCCAATCCCCTCGCCCTCCAGGGAGCGCTACGATCCGATCGACCCGAGTCGGTGTCGACCTCCGCCTTCTCGATCCGATTCGATTTCAAATCTCCAGCGATCCGATGCGCCCCGATGATTGCATGACTCTGTTGTGCATCCTGGCGCAGCCGATCCGATCCGATGTCGATGCCGTGCCGATGCAGGCCCGCTCCGAAGCATGTGGTGTTTCGACCTCGGTTTCCCGAGTCGATGCTGATTGATCCCCGCCCTCTCCTTCGGTAGCAATATACGGCAGCCTTGTGTACCGTTCTTAATTCCGTTTTTGGCGTCGGCTAGGGTCGAGTAGCGTTTGGTAATCGATGAGATAGCGCCGATGTAGCGTCGATGGGCGTTTGTTAGCATCGAGCAGCGTCGATGTAGCTTCGATCGCCGTCGATCAGCGTCGATTACCGTCGACCGACAGGATGGCAGGGGAGGCTCCCATGGGTTGCCACCGAGCTCTCCCGGGGAGGACGGGGATGTCGGGCAGGGGGAGGGGCAGGGGGAGCGGGAGAGGGAGGGGGAGGGGGAGGCGGAGGCGGAGGAGGACTCCCATGGGTTGCCACCGAGCTCTCCCCGCCCTCTGCACCCCAGGTGCTCCTGGAGCGCGCCCTCGCCCACCGGGCCCTGGCGTCCCTCGCGGGGAGCGCGGGCGCGCACGACGCGGTCCTCTCCCCCGCCGTCCTGTCCCAGCCGCGCCCTCGGGTGCAGCGGCGGGAGGGGGGGGGGGGCGCTGCAGGGGCAGCGGAGGGCGGGGCGGGCTGGGGGGCTGGGCGCGGGGAGGCCGGGGGGCAGCGTCCGGGGGGATGCGCTCCGGGGGAGTGCGGGGAGGGGGGCGGGCGCAGCGGCCCCCCATCGCCCACGGGACCGCCGACAGGGGCCCGCTGTGGCCCCGCCCCGCCCAGGAGCGTGCGGATTCGCCATCGGGGGCCTGTCGCCGATCTGCCGGGGCGGTGCATCGCCGATTCCAGGTCGATGTGTCCCGTCACGAGCTTGTCCCCCCCTCGTCGGGGGGGCTGGGAGATGGACGGGGGTTTCTAGGTGAGGGTGGTGATGGCCGGGAGGGGGCGTGTGGAGACGTAGGGCCGACGCCGCCTGTCTTCTCGGTCCGATGGCCGGCCGCCTGCTTCGGATGCAGATTTGGGGGATCGCGCTCGGGCAGTCGGCCAGAGGCCATGCCGGTCTGCGCTTTTCGGGCGTTGCGTAAGTGGGTGGCGAGAAATGGGGGGGGAAGGACGTTGCACCGCTTGTGCCCTGAAGGGCTCCTCTGGGGCCCAAAAGGGGTCCGAAAGGGGCACGTTTCTCTCCCCCAATGTCCCCCCCCCATGAAGCAACGCCCAAGCTTTTGCGCTGCTTGCCAGTATTGTGTATCAGCGCTGCTCTGAGTCACCACATGCGCTGCATCAATATTGCGATTCCACGAGCATGCCGCGCTGGTCGATGTGTCTGCGCGGGGCGAACTGATGTCCGTTGGATGAAACGCTCTCTATTCGTCGGTGTGCTTCTGGGACCTTGGCGCGCTCATGGTGATGAACCGCGAATGTGTTCTCGGGATGCATGGCTTTCCAAGCCGCGTGACTAGCGGACAACGCATATGAGTTCCAGGAGCCCGGTAGTGCTTCCGTTCCCCCTCTGGATGCAATTTCCATGTAATATCTGTTTTGGAGAGCGGGATGGCGCAAGGACTTGCGCCAACAAATAACGTTCGGATGGTGGTAATCAGAAGGGGGATCTTGTGATCCTGTGGAAATGTTTGCCATTCCGCTGATCCCCAGAGGAGATACGCCGTGACGATGTCTTGGGTTGCTCGGGTGCACCGGGGAGGGCAATACGTGAAACAGGCGATGGTGTGAAGCAGTAACATGGTGCGGAAGAGGAGGAAGAGGAGGAGAAGGACAAGGAGGAAGTGGAGGAGGAGGAGGACAAGTGGGACAGGAAGAGGAGGAGTAGTTACCAGGAGGAGGAAGAGAAGTGAAGGAGGACACGGGTGGGGAGAGCATGAGCCTCAATTGGTCAACCGTGTTCTTCTGCGTTGGTTTTTGCCAGCGAAAGAAAGATACCTGCGCGTGAATCCCCCAATCAGGGCGCTTCCTGGGCCATGCGAGTGCTCAGGCCATGACCTCCAACACATGTGCCCGAGCTCTTGGTGGGCCCACTTTAGGGGGGCTCGTTGGACCCGCTTGAATACTCCAGGAATCGCTCTGGGGCCTTCTTGGGGGCCTTATATTGGGTGTCGGAGCCCTGTTGGACTTTTCGTGGGGCCCTCTTCGGCGATTCGCCTTGGTGTTCGTGCCCTCACGGGCTCCCCGGGTTTGTTTTTGTTGGAGGTCAGGGCGCTGTCGGGGCCAGTTGAGCTGGTGCCCTGGCATCAGGAGGGAAAAAAACACACAGACACAATTAATCGGCGATTCCCAGAAAATATGGGAACATATGGGAAGTGGGGGGGAAGACAAAAACCCAGAAAATACAGGAAAATATGGGGGATATTTTTATTTGTGTGTATTTATTTGTGTTCCCCAGGGCCCCTTCATGGCAGGCTCCTCTTGGGTCCCTGTCGCTTGCTTAGGACCCCCTTGAGGCACCAGCTTGAGGTCTTCTGAGGCCCGCCCGCGGGAGCAGCTGCGAGAATTCCGATCAGGAGCTTGTTCGGGAAGCCCTGGAGCCACCTTGGCGCCGCCGAGGGGCATCCTGGAGTTCGGTCAGGCACTGTCGGATGCCACCTTGGGCGCTCTGAGGCAATGTTGAAGCCGTTTTTGGCAATGAGGCGGACCGCGAGGGCCAGGTGGGCTGTTGGAGAACTTCTTGGGGCCCAATGAGGTGCGTCGGCGAGCTCGTTCTTCCTCTTCCTTGCCCCCTTCGACCGTGATTCTGGACCCCAGGGTGGCATGATTCGGTAGCAAATCATGGGAGCCGCGCGTGCCCTCGCAATTCCATATTCAGACTGCAGTAGCGTGTGCTAGCGTCTGGCAATCGACAAGAAAGATCAGGAACTGGAACATATACATTACCAGTGGCGGGTTGTTTTTTCAATCCCACGATTTTTTGAGGGTCGGGGACGACATCGGGGTGGTGTGGTGTATACTTTTTCTTCGTTTTCCACGGGAAACAACGAAACATGTATACACCAGGATCCCGTATACACCAGGATCCGTTTTCCTGTGCAAATTTCAGTGCAGGGCCGCAAAAAGCATCGGTGTATAGAGTTCGGCTCCCTAAAAGAAGCACACATGTAGCGTCGATTAGCGTCGATTTGCGTCGATTCGCAGGAGCCAGCAAGATGGTACGTATCGGAGGCTCCCATGAGTTGCCACCGAAGCATGAACGAGTTCAAGTGGAGAGCCAACCGTATCGCACGCCTTGCCACCCCAGGCAAGCGGTGGTCGGCCGACCATTTCGCAACAAACACTTCTGTGCAGGAGTGCAGGATCTACCAGCCTGAAACATGTCCCTACCCCTATGAGTGGTACCAACTTTTTCTCGGTGCCGGACGTGAGGGTCACCTTCATTAGTTTCCGAGGACGCACACCTGAGATTATCATCGCCTTTTGGCTTCTGAGTCCTCGGGTTAGGGATACGGTCGGACTGAGGCATCAGATCGAGGTCGGTTCGGAGAGGGTACCTTGATGCTCTTCGTGTTTGTTGGATGTTCTTGTGCATCCTGGGGGAGGGTACCCTCGAGTGAGCTTGCGGTTGGGGATGTTTTGGCTGGCGGAGGGTCTCATGTTCCTGAGGGGTGTTTTTTCTGTCCCGGGTCCGACCATAACTTCGAGGCGGGTCAGGGATGCCTGGCCCTGCGCTCCACCGCGGCGGGGCGCAGGAGCGGCCCGGCACCAGCAGCTGGCACCGCGTGCCCGCGCTGCTCGGCGGCACTGCTCGGGGGCGGCCGAGGGCGGGGTGGTGACCAGGGTCGGCCACGTGCAGCAGGGGGGGGCAGGGGGGAGGGGGGAAGGCTTCTTGGGCCCGCGCCTTCTAAGAAGCAGCCTCCTGATTGAGCAGCCTCCCCCCCTCCCCAGACCGCCCTGTGCGCGCCGCCAACAGGTGGGGGGAGGGGACACCATGACCCGGGCCATGATACCTCCCCAGGTTTCAGGGCCTCTCTTCCTGTTTCAAGAACTGCGGTCCTTGGCCCCCCCTGGGCCGCGCACATGCCTTGGGCCGTGATTTGCGAGCCCCCCTCTTGGACGCCCCCCCTCTTGGACGCCCTGAATTGTATCTCTCTAGGCCTCCTAAATGGGTCGGAGTAGATGGGGTCGGAGGATCGCGCCGCATCGCCGATGCATCGCCGATGCGGCTCGATGCGGAGCCCGATTTTCTCCACGCCAACGTCGCCGATGCGTCACCGACGTCGCCGACGTCGGCGATGCGTCGCGATCCTCCGACCCCATCTATTCCGACCTTATCTAGGAGGCCTCTAATCTCAGCTCTGTGTATGGCACTGCGTGCTAGCATAGTGTGTCTGCATCGCGTGCGACTCGGTAGCTTCGCCGCGGAGACACGCAGGACCCCGCCGTCTCAGAAAGTGCGGCCCATTGGAGCGCGCGTATCTCTGTGTCACGACACCAATATGTCATAGGCAAAGAGAGGGATATATATATATATATACATAGAGAGAGAGAGAGACAGACAGAGACAGAGACAGAGACCGAGACCGAGACAGGCAGGCAGACGGATGGACAGAGACAGAGAAAGAGAGAGAGAGCGAGCGAGCGAGCCAGCGAGGGAGAGAGGGAGCGCAAGCCAGAGTGTGCTAGGTCTTGGCCCTCCCACAGGACAGCCAGACACGCGGGCCGGGGCGCCTGCCCACCGGAGCCCGCCCAGCCCGCCCGCCGAGGCTGTGCCGCCACGTGAACCTGCTGGTGCGGTCGCGGCGGAGGTTCGGCGCCCTCTGCGCCGCCGTCGCCGTGGCCCACCTGCTCTCCATGGCGCGCCTGCTGGCCCCGGGGGGCTACGGCCTGCTGGTGTCCGAGGTGTGCGACGAGCGCGCCTGCCAAGGCTGCACGGGCCTGGGCCTGCAGGAGGCGGGTGGCCCGCCACGCTCGAGCTCCAGAGGAGGAGGAGGAGGAGGAGGAGGAGGAGGAGGAGGTGTCGGCGCCGCCGTTGCCCCTCTCTCGCATTTGCCTTTTGGGGACCTCCTGGAAGGCTCTCGTCGCCACGGCCAGATTCGCTTCGAAGTTCTGGTCAGACCGCACCCTGGGAGAGGCCTGAGGAGATCTGAGGAGTAACAAACTACTTGCGCAAGGGATGTCTGGATTGTCATCCGTCGCGTGGATTTAGGAGCCGTGTCCCCTTGAAGAGTCCGACCGCCTGGCTCACCCATTCGTCCATGTCGCTGGTCTGACATTAGGGATGTGTTCGGCGATTTGATTTTTCCCCAGAGCCCACCCGAACCAGTACCCTACCTGCGGTTCGCATGGAAAGATGGAAAGGGCCATTCGTCATTGCCGTTCCGTGTATATATATATATATATATATATAGATATAGATAGATAGATAGATAGATAGATAGATAGATAGATAGATAGATAGATAGATAGATATATATATATATTAATATCTGATACTGGAGAAAAAACCCAATCATAATCTTTTTAGAGCTGTAGGGCTATATGGCTATAGGGCTATAGGTCTATGTGGCTATAGGGATATAGGGCGACAGAGCACCCGGGCACCGGGGCACCCCCCTGGCACCTCCGGCCCCCCCAGCACACCCTTGAGCACCTCCGGGCACCTCCGGGCACCTCCGGGCACTCTTGGGCACCCGGGCACCAGGGCCCGCCGCCGAAATCGGCGGCACACCTCACCTAACCATATGAATCCGCTAGGACTCCTACAGAGGCAAGCTCTGATTGGGGAATATATATATATATATATATATATGTATATATACACACACGGACATATATATACACACACAAACATATGGATATGACGGGGTAGGCATCCCACATGGGGTAACCGGGGCCCTAGAAGCGCTCCCAGAGAGCGCCAAGACGGCACCATACTGCCCGAAGAGGCCCCCAAGCGGCTCGCAGGAGGCTTCCAAGAGGCAGGAGGCCAAAATGAATCAAGAACCGAAGGAAAACCGTACAATTTGGAAGATTCCGCTTTTCACCTTCCAAGAGGTCTCTGAGGCTTCGAGATAGTCCAGAACCCTGAGAGGCCCAAAGAAGCCCCCAAGAGGCCCCAGAGGGGTCCGGACGGTCCAGAGATGCCTCCGACACGCTCCAGGAGCTCCCCAGAGGCCTCGAGAGGGCTCACAGAGTCCCGGAGACGCTCCGAAGACGCCCCCAAGAGGCTCCAAGAGACCCCAAGAGACCCCCGAGAAGCCTTCTCGGGGGCTACACGAGACCCCCAAGACGCCTCCAACGTGCCCTTGCGAGGCTCCCCAGAGACCGCCAGGAAGCCACACATTCTTCACGAAAGTCTCGGGTGGAACATCCGAACAGTGATCTTCATTCCACTCCTCGTCGCCGTCGTTGTCATCCAGATGTTTCTGGAGGCTTCCGGAAGCGTCTTCTCCCCCATTCTTTTTCCTCTCACACCTCGCCGAAAAAACTCCCCCGAGACGCCTGAAGTATGGTTTTCAGGGACTCCCCAGAGACCGCTGGGAAGTCACTCGAACATCGACTTCCCGATCCCTCCTCCTGTTCTGCCTCCGCCTCAACCTCTTCACCTCCTCTTCTCCCTCTCCTCCTCCTCCTCCTCCTCCTCATGCTTCTTCTTCTTCTTCTCCTCCACTTCTTCCTGCTTCTCCTTCACCCGCAGGGGGGAGACAACCATTGCGCGTCTGTTCGGATATTCCATAACATTGAGTGGCTCTTTGGACACATTATCGGTCCTTTAAAGTTGTTCCATAGTTTTTGGTCTTCGGATTGTGGAGCTTCTGGGACCCACAAACGGCAGATGAGGGCCGACAAGTCGCTTCAAAACAACTCAAGAGCCCACTGAAGGCCCACACGACGGCCCAGGAGAGCCCCCAGGAGCACCCAAAATTGATCAAGAGGACCCCACGAAGGCAAGATGTTCCCGGAGGCCTCTCCAGGAACATCTCGCCGACAAGAACGATGAGAGCGAAGTTGATGACCATGGCGTTGATCAGGGTGTTGATGGGTGAGACGACGGCTGTGACGACATAAACGTTTAGCGTGGTGATTTCCATGATGATGGCGGTGATGACGATGATGGGAAAGCCAATGGAGATAGTCATTTGGGTGCGGACGATGATTGTTATAATGACGACGTGTGACTGACGTCGCCGCATCACCAACGGCAGCCGGCCGATAATGCCAGCCATGATGGTGGTGTTGATGGCGATGATGATGATGACGATGATGATGATGATGATGAGGAGGAGGAGGAGGAGGATGATCATGATGGTGATGAGAACGAGGATGATGAGGATGAGGATGATAAGGATGAGGAGGAGGAGGAGTAGGATGATACGTAATGATAATGATGCTGGTGATGATGATGATGGTGATGATGATGATGATGGTGGTGGTGGTTGCGGGGGTGGGGTGGCGGTGGTAGTGGTGATGATGACGACGATGACGATGGTGGTGGAGGGATGATGATGATGATGGTGATGGCTATGATGATGATGATGATGATGATGATGATGATGATGATGATGATGATGATGATGATGATGATGATGATGATGATGACGATGATGATGATGATGACGATGACGATGATGATGATGATGATGATGATGATGATGATGATGATGATGATGATGATGATGATGATGATGATGATGATGATGCGGATGCGGATGCTGATGCTCATGCTGATGCTGCTGATGATGATGCTGTTGTTTCAAAGTGTGCTGGCCATTACGTGTATATACATATATATACATACAAGAATGCATTGGCGTTTCGCGCCAATGCACCTTGGTCCTTGAAGTTCGGCATGCAGGCGGGATGGCAGGAAGGGCAAGCCGGCAATTTAGCGATAACTCCTTGTTGTTTTTTCCGGCATCGTCGTTATCGTAATGTTTTTCGTTGTCCTTCCTCCATGCTTCTGTCTTTTCATTCTCGCCATACCCTGCGCATTCTCCCCGTCCTCCTCAGTTCTTTTATGCGGAGGCTCCTCCTTGGAGAGCCTCTGGGGGCCTCACAAAAGTTTTTCAGGCTTTCTTAAGGCTTTTTGGAGGCCTCCTGGGCGTGTTCTGGGGTCCTCTGGGGGTTTCCTCAGGCCACCCTGCCTCCAACCGCGGTCTCCCTGAATGACTGGGTCACGATTTGGAATGCTTCAGAAGGTGTCTTCGGGCCATCTTGGGCCGCCATGGGGCTCTCTTAGGGCCATCTTGGACCCCTGTTGTGCCGTTTTGGGGCTGTCTTGGATTGCCTGGAAGCCCTTTCGGATAGTTGTGGGGCGATTTTGGAGCCTCCCACGCGGCTTCGGACGCCCAGAAGACCGCCGTCTTGGAGCGTCGGGAAGCCGAAAAGAGGATACCCCCAAAAATCACCAAAAATCAAAGGAACATCACAGATGTTTGCCTCTTGGGTCCTTCTTGGGTTGGGAGTGCTCTTGAAGGCCTCTTGGGACGTGTCGGAGCAATCTTTGGGGGTATGACGGCTTCGTGGGCGTCGTCGTGGACCGTATTGGGGCTCTTTGGGGTCGTTTCGGGAGCGCGCCGGAACGCCTGGAACCCGTTTGGGGCCGTCTTCGGATGTTGGGAAGGCTTGGCGAAACGCCTTGCGAGGCCCGGGGGCCGCTTCGAGGCCCGTTTGGAGGGTCCCAAAGTCCCAGATCTCGGAAGTCCCGTTTTGGGGGGGGGGTCCCCGTAAAAGAAAGTGAACACCCCGGGGGTCCATTCCCGTTCCCGTTCCCTCTCTCTCTCTCTCTCTTTTGTTCTCTCTCTCTCTCTCTCTTTTTTTTGTTCTCTCTCTCTCTCTCTCTATCTCTCTATCTCTCTTTCTCTCTCTCTCGCCCGCTCTCTCTCTCTTTTTTTTTTTTTTTTTTTCTCTCTCTCTCTCTCTCTCTCCCGTCTCCTGGGAGGTCGCTGGCGGTCTCGGAAGGTATCTGTCAGACGCCTGCGTCGAATCATCGCCGTAGGCGAAGGGGATGGGGAGGGGGAAGGGGATTGGGAAGGGGGAAGGAGATTGGGGAGGGGAGAGGGGGGGGGGGAAGGGGATGGGGAGAGAGAGAGAGAGAGAAGGTGAGGTGGGCTGAGAGGGGAAGGGAAGGAGGGGGCAAAGGGGGAGGATGACGTTGTTGACGATGCTGACGTTGTTGACGATGGCGATGGCGATGATGATGCTGATGATGATGATGATGAGATGATGATGATGATGATGATGATGATGATGATGATGATGATGATGACGATGATGATGATGCTGATGCTGATGCTAATGCTGATGATGATAATAATGATGATAATGATGATGATGAGGATCATGAGGATGATGATGATGGCGATGATGATGTGAATGATGATGATGGCGATTATGACGATGATGGTGGTGATGATGGTGATGATGATGATGATGACTGATGATGCTGATTATGAAGATGATGATGATTATGATGAACGTGCTGATTCGGATGATAATGATAATGGTGTTGATGATGATGGTGCTGATGACGATGATGATGGTGGTGGTGATGATGGTGATCGTGATAGTGATGGTGGTGATGATGATGACTGGTGATGAAGACGATGTTTTATGATGATGAGTACGATCTTGGTGGTTGTTGTAGTGTTCCTGATAATGATGGTGGTGATGATGATGCTAATGATGATGAGGATGATGATGATGATGCTGGCGATGATGGTGATGATGATGGCGATGATGCTGCTGCTGATGATGATGATGATGATGATGATCATGATGATGGTGATGATGATGTTGCTGCTGCTGATGGTCATGATGACAATGATCCTTCTCCCTCCTCCTCACTCCTCCCTCCTTCTTCCTCCTCCTCACTCCTCCCTCCCTCCCTCCTTCTCTCTCCTTCTCCCTCCTCCCTGCCTCCCTCCTTCTCTCTCCTCCTCCCTCCTCCC